AGTTATAAAATACAAGAATATATTATGTTATATCCTGCATCAAAAATTTGTTGGCTTTTGATTGGTTGAGAGCTTGTCACATGACCAGAAATATTTGATCTATTTTTAGAAAGTACTATATTAGAGTACTATTTTGGTTTACTATTTGGGAGTTGAAAAAAAAAGTGATTTTTTTTGTTGTTGAATTGAATCAATTTTTTTGTTCAAATCTTAATTTAATGAAAACAAAATATTTTAAATCTTTTTAGATAAAAATTGACATTTTTATGTTCTAAATTTTATTTTCCATTTTTTTTTAAAATAATTTTTTGATGCAGGATATAAAACAAATATACCATGCCTTCTATTCGAGGTACTGGTTAAACTATGGGCCTCGGTGACTCCAAAAGTACCATTTGCTTCGGGGCTGCGCCCCTCAGCAAATAGTACTATTGGAGTCACCTCTTGCGCATAGTTTTAACCAGAACCTCTCAAGGCAGTGTATATTTGTATAATATTAACTGCTCTGGCTTAGTGAGAGCCAAGTAGTCTAAATGTTTAAATATGCCCCTTACCAAGCTGATAATGTTGATAATTCCAAGTGTCATTCCCTTAGTTCTAAACTATTAATGTAACACAACAAGAACGATTCGGTCATACATACATAAAATGAAGAAAAATAGTTTTTTTAGTAATAGGTTTTTAACAAAAGGGTGATTTTTACAGAATGAGAGGATGACATTTCCTCACCATAAATCAGTGCGTTAACTCTACACACATAGCCAAGGTTTTAACCTGGCCTAAAGTTAAGCGGCTATCAAGAATACAGGCATAGATTTATGAAGGGCATGGCAGGCAGCGCGCATTGGCATCTACATGAAGGTACATATTGTTCATTGGTTCATATGTATATACGCTATTATCTTGTTATCAGTATTTACATATGAAGAGCTTATCTCAACATATTTTAAACGCTTTACACTGTTGAAATATTGATAGCTGCATTTATATTTGAAATTTTATTAAATTCATTAAAGACGTACGGTATATGTGATTTGTCTAAAAATAGATTGTGTATATTTGTGATAAATCTTGTCTATTCTTCCATTTCCTTGCAGACTTTTGTGGTGCAAATCTATGCCAGAACAACGGAACTTGTACAAATTCTGCATGTGTTTGTGTTGATGGATATTCTGGCATAACTTGCGAAATAGGTAAGTGAAATAATACAAATTATTGAATAATTAATTTCCATAAATAATGGCTAAACAAAGATAATAATCATCACAACCGAAAACTCTGTGGCAAATATAAGATTTCATATATGGTATGATATTTCATGAGGCAGTTTTGCATTTTATATCTGCCCTATGCATACTAATTAACCGCCAAACCAAAGAATATAAATCTTTTAGAGAATTCAAAGATATCATAAATGGCGTAATATTTCATGATGCAATTTTGGCTCAAAATTTATATTTCACACACTACATCACTCATTGAAATTGATATCAGAATGATGGTATTTTTATTATCCATCTTTTGACACCAAATACATGGTGATTATAGGTTTTAGTTCAAAGTTATCTTTAAAACTCGATGTAAACTCACCAAACAGATCCTTAATACACTAATGCACGTATATGCATACAGTTAATACACATGTGGGCAAAAATGTTGTTTTTGTGGAAATCAAATCAATAACTTTGGATTGCTATAACTTTTTTATTGAAACGATATATGAACCTCTCCCTCGCACAGGATATTGTCGTTGTACATAAGCAAATTCCTAGGAGTTATGAAAAAATGCAATTCTTCGATTTTGATATATGGAAACTAATGTTTTTTGATAAAAGTCAATTTTTCGAAAAAAAATCACAAAAATCATGTTTTTTACTTAAATTTGCGATGTTAATTAATCCCAAATTCTTTGAAATTGGAATCAAATGTAAATAATTTAACTCTCTTTCATATGACACCAAACTCATGGTGGTTCAAGGTTTCCTTAAAATATTATTTACATAATACTATTTTATCGTCAAAAGGGCCACTTTTTTGGTGGGGGCATTACCCTGGCCACACCTCCCACTTAGAACATGCCAGACGGTCAATTTGTTATATGGAGCTATGCGATCTTTACATATGTGCACATGAAAATTGGTTTCCTTCCCAGCTAGGTTGACTCCTCCTGGCTCCCGGTCTAGGACCCCCAAGGAAATGAAGGAGGGGTCTGAAAATTTGGACCCCATCATTTTTGGCCAATTGGGACCCTTTTGAAGCCAAAACAGCAACAAAATTAACTTTGGCACAAAAATCCTACGGGATTACATACCATACCGCACTATAAGGTCTACCATTGATTGCCAGACTTATTTTAAATTAGTGTTATTTAATAACTTTTCACAGCAATTTCATAAGCTGATATTATTATTAGAGGTGTAGATCTATAAAAAATGTGCTTAAGGTAGACATGCTAGACCACAAATGAAACTATTACAAAGACTAGCTGTGCCATGGGTCACACCACGCATGCTGACATTGGCAAGGCGCTGTTCGTGTGTGAGGAGCTCCGCATCGTACCCTTCGCATCTGTAAAATCTTTACAAGCTAGTTATTGACAAGATGAGATCTGATTGGCTGTATGCAAGTGGGAAAAAAATTACGCTTCCCGGTAGGATGCGAACGTCAATGTGATTGGATTTGTATGTGCACGTCCGTCAAAATGGCGAATGGCTTCAATGCTTCCGAGGGAGTTGAGAATATGCACTGCAAAGTGTAGAATCATACCAGAATCCAGTGACCGGGGAAATAATATTGTAGAGCTGTAGCTGGTAAAAATACTTTATAAAAAACAATTATTATTATTATTTGTATTATCATTAGAAAATATGCTCCGTATTAAAACCAGTTATCTATTCCTTCACAAACTGTTTCTGGTTGCATTACTCCTTTATGATTTCTTCAATCATTTTGTTGTTCATGTTTGTATATGTGTGTGCTAGCCCTGGGTTTATTCCTTCTTCTTGTCTTACTCCCTTGTTCATTTATCCCATGTTTCTTCTGGATGTAGACTTGTGAAGATTCGTTTTCATTCCCCTTTATACCTTTTTTTTTGCCATTTGATTCTTAAAATCAGAGGCGAACTATTCATTTTCAGTGTTCATTTATATGTATTTATAAACAACTACCGTGTATTATGTTAAATGCAAGTCTTTATTCTTTAGCTTTATGTGGGGGCTTTTGTTGTGCAGCATAAAATAAATGAATCTCTGGTTCATATACTCCTTATGTCAAGTAAATGTTTTTATAAACAACCATTGTGTGAAATGCAAGTCTTTATTCTTTAGTTTGCTGTGAGTGCTTTTGTTGTGCAGCATGAAATAATGAATATTTGGTGCATACACTCTTTATGTCGTCAAGATATGGAAAATTGTCCCCATAGGACGAATGTTTTCCCTGCATTACTTTTGAAATCTTGCTCCTAAAAAATAATTCTGATATTGATATTGATATCAATGTGGTCTTTTAGGCAAGCTTGACTGTACATACATCTTTGGCTAAGAATGTTTTCGTAACAGGAATGTGGTACCATAGTAATGCTTAGAATCATCATCACGCATCTTTATGTTCCATCTTTCCTCTGATAATTTTATACCATTTCCCATTTTAGGTGGTGTTGCGGGAAGGTTATTACTCATTTTGCTAATATTGGCAGGCTCATGACATTGTGAAAAACTGTTATTGCTTCAATGATTTGTGTACTGGTACTCAAATACACAAGGAGACACATCAGTGTTAAGTAATTGCCATCTACAGCCTCTTTCTCTTGATATGCTGTGTCATATGGCCCTTCTTTAGTCTAACAGGCACATCCAGATATGGGATGATAACTCCCTTAAAGGTAATACAAAGTTTTGGGAAATTTTGAAAATTGGGTAGATAGTGAATCTTTACAATTTTGATATATTTGGATGCCCCTGTGGATGTATTATAAGCACTAAAAAAATTAGCCCCTAAAACACCTCTGTTTTCGAGAAAAATCGAATATAAAGATTTACCGGTGCTCCCGGTAAATTTTGATAAATTTCAATTAGCGCCTATGGCCGTACAATCGTAGCTGCGACCATGACAATCTCATAATATGTAGTTAGGATATATAATTTCCAAACAGGAATAGCTAATCGGTCGATTTCAGTCAAGAAACATTTTTTCAGAGCTAAATTAATATCTTGACCTTGAGAGGGAGCTATACAACATAAAGAGTTTATTATTTATGATTTCATAACTTTGGACTCGATTTCAACCGCGACAACGATCAATGTATATTGTAGGAACGCATATGCTTCCAATATGTTAATTTGAACCAAATTCATGACCCCATACCAAAACTTTGTAGTACCTTTAACTTTAGGATATGGATTTAAATGTGAGTTGTACAGTATACATTGAAGGAATATTGTACATACAATGGGAAGAACTGGTAGTGTCAAAAGGGGCCCTATTTTTTCAGCTTAATATTTAAATTTAAATTTAAGATCTGGTCAATGAAACGTAAGTCCAGTAGAACTGACTTACAATCATTCTGAATAGTAACAAAGCAGTAGATTTGTTGCTTGGACAAACAAAGTGGAATTGAAAACCGCAGGAGAAGACATTTACTGAAACCCTCACATGATCTGGTAATCGCCGGTTATAATATCTACCTTTTAGATTGATTTTCTCAACTCTCTATGCTCACATCTCTGCTTTTATAAACTTTCTACTGAATTTGGGTTTTTTTACAATATTTGTAGTCTTAAATGTTCAGGACAGTGTTTAGTTTGAATGCGTTAGATATTTTTCTCAGTTATTCCCGGCACTGTCAGGATTCCCTTAGAACTGGTATGAATGATGGCATATGCAGGGCTTGATATATTTTTGTGTATATTTAATGGGCTATCAACATACAAACAAATGTGATGGATAAGATATGAAGCCAACCTAGCATCGATTTTCACTCAATTTTTCTTTTGGTCCAGATATCAATGATTGCTTGAACAACCCCTGTATGAATGGAGGAACCTGCAACGACTTGGTCAATGACTATAACTGTACATGTCCGGCAGGATTCGAAGGAAAATACTGTGGAAATGGTAACATATCATGCAGCTTATTTATCCCTTTCAAATACACTTCGTTAATAGACCCAAGAGCTGAAACCTGAGGCTGTAGTGGAAGCACTCTTAAAAATAAGAGGAATCATTCTTATAGGGGTCAACCAGACGATGGCATGAAGAAAAAGCAATATACATATGTGCAGATAAAATGTAATAAATATAAGTTCGTGTATGTATCAGGTGCATATATGTAGAAAACATAATATATTTTTATTTTATGTACCCTCTTATCCCCAATTCAAATAGAGCAGACTGGTGTCTGTGACTTATGCATGACTAATGTAAATTTGTTTTTTGTTGGTTTTTTTTGCATGAACATTTGATTTGCTTTGCTTAATGTTTGTTTATATTCATATGTTTTTACCTCATAGATAGAATTATTTAAATGAATTGCGTACCTTATATTGTACATATACAGTAAAACCTTCTATAGCGACCACCCAAGGGGAAACACAAAAAGTGGCCTTTGTAGACAGATGATCTTTGTAGATAGGTGGCCACTAAAGCAGGTTTGACTGTACTTATATTTTTATTTATGTGTTGATCATGTAGGCAGAAGTATGTGTACCACTCTTTAATCTAAAGTTTGCACAGTTTTTAAAAGATTTTCAGAGGACTTGTGAGAGCCATGTCGATTTTTGATAGTGGGCTATCAACAAATAAACAAATGAGATATGAAGCCGACCTAAGTTTAATCTAAAGTTTGCACAGTTTTTAAAAGATTTTCAGAGGACTTGTGAGAGCCATGTCGATTTTTGATAGTGGGCTATCAACAAATAAACAAATGAGATATGAAGCCGACCTAAGTTTTTCACTCCGTTTTTCTTTTGGTCCAGATACCGATGATTGCTATAACAACACCTGTATGAATGGAGGAACATGCAACGACTTGGTCAATGACTATAACTGTACATGTCCGGCAGGATTCGAAGGAAAAAACTGTGGAAATGGTAAGATATCATGCAGCTTATTTATCCCTTTCAAATACACTTCGTTAATAGACCCAAGAGTTGAAACCAGAGGCTGTAGTGGAAGCACTCTTAAAAAAAGAGGAATCATTCTTACAGGGGTCTCCCAGAAGAAAGCATGAAGAAAAAGCAATATACACATGTGCAGATAAAATGTAATAAATATAAGTACATGTATGTATCAGGTGCATATATGTAGGACACATAATATATTTTTATTTTATGTACCCTCTTATCCCCAATTCAAATAGAGCAGACTGGTGTCTGTGACTTATGCATGACTAATGTAAATTTGTTTTTTGTTGGTTTGTTTTGCATGAACATTTGATTTGCTTTGCTTAATGTTTGTTTATATTCATATGTTTTTACCTCATAGATAGAATTATTTAAATGAATTGCGTACCTTATATTGTACATATACAGTAAAACCTTCTATAGCGACCACCCAAGGGGAAACACAAAAAGTGGCCTTTGTAGACAGATGATCTTTGTAGATAGGTGGCCACTAAAGCAGGTTTGACTGTACTTATATTTTTATTCATGTGTTGATCATGTAGGCAGAAGTATGTGTACCACTCTTTAATCTAAAGTTTGCACAGTTTTTAAAAGATTTTCAGAGGACTTGTGAGAGCCATGTCGATTTTTGATAGTGGGCTATCAACAAATAAACAAATGAGATATGAAGCCGACCTAAGTTTTTCACTCCGTTTTTCTTTTGGTCCAGATACCGATGATTGCTATAACAACACCTGTATGAATGGAGGAACATGCAACGACTTGGTCAATGACTATAACTGTACATGTCCGGCAGGATTCGAAGGAAAAAACTGTGGAAATGGTAAGATATCATGCAGCTTATTTATCCCTTTCAAATACACTTCGTTAATAGACCCAAGAGTTGAAACCAGAGGCTGTAGTGGAAGCACTCTTAAAAAAAGAGGAATCATTCTTACAGGGGTCTCCCAGAAGAAAGCATGAAGAAAAAGCAATATACACATGTGCAGATAAATGTAATAAATATAAGTACGTGTATGTATCAGGTGCATATATGTAGGAAACATAATATATTTTTATTTTATGTACCCTCTTATCCCCAATTCCAATAGAGCAGACTGGTTTCTGTGACTTATGCATGACTAATGTAAATTTGTTTTTTGTTGGTTTGTTTTGCATGAACATTTGATTTGCTCTGCTAAATGTTTGTTTATATTCATATGTTTTTACCTCATAAATATAATTATTTAAATGAATTGCGTACCTTATAGTGTACATATACAGTAAAACCTGTCTATAGAGACCACCCAAGGGGAAACACAAAAAATGGCCTTTGTAGACAGATGATTTTTGTAGATAGGTGGCAACTAAAGCAGGTTTGACTGTACTTATATTTTTATTCATGTGTTGATCATGTAGGCAGAACTATGTGTACCACTCTTTAATCTAAAGTTTGCACAGTTTTTAAAAGATTTTCAGAGGACTTGTGAGAGCCATGTCGTTTTTTGATAGTGGGCTATCAACAAATAAACAAATGAGATATGAAGCCGACCTAAGTTTTTCACTCCGTTTTTCTTTTGGTCCAGATACCGATGATTGCTATAACAACACCTGTATGAATGGAGGAACATGCAACGACTTGGTCAATGACTATAACTGTACATGTCCGGCAGGATTCGAAGGAAAAAACTGTGGAAATGGTAAGATATCATGCAGCTTATTTATCCCTTTCAAATACACTTCGTTAATAGACCCAAGAGTTGAAACCAGAGGCTGTAGTGGAAGCACTCTTAAAAAAAGAGGAATCATTCTTACAGGGGTCTCCCAGAAGAAAGCATGAAGAAAAAGCAATATACACATGTGCAGATAAAATGTAATAAATATAAGTACGTGTATGTATCAGGTGCATATATGTAGGAAACATAATATATTTTTATTTTATGTACCCTCTTATCCCCAATTCATGTTAGAGCAGACTGGTGTCTGTGACTTATGCATGACTAATGTAAATTTGTTTTTTGTTGGTTTGTTTTGCATGAACATTTGATTTGCTCTGCTTAATGTTTGTTTATTTTCATATGTTTTTACCTCATAGATAGAATTATTTAAATGAATTGCGTACCTTATATTGTACATATACAATAAAACCTGTCTATAGCGACCACCCAAGGGGAAACACAAAAAGTGGCCTTTGTAGACAGATGATCTTTGTAGATAGGTGGCCACTAAAGCAGGTTTGACTGTACTTATATTTTTATTCATGTGTTGATCATGTAGGCAGAAGTATGTGTACCACTCTTTAATCTAAAGTTTGCACAGTTTTTAAAAGATTTTTTTCAGAGGACTTGTGAGAGCCATGTCGTTTTTTGATAGTGGGCTATCAACAAATAAACAAATGAGATATGAAGCCGACCTAAGTTTTTCACTCCGTTTTTCTTTTGGTCCAGATACCGATGATTGCTATAACAACACCTGTATGAATGGAGGAACATGCAACGACTTGGTCAATGACTATAACTGTACATGTCCGGCAGGATTCGAAGGAAAAAACTGTGGAAATGGTAAGATATCATGCAGCTTATTTATCCCTTTCAAATACACTTCGTTAATAGACCCAAGAGTTGAAACCAGAGGCTGTAGTGGAAGCACTCTTAAAAAAAGAGGAATCATTCTTACAGGGGTCTCCCAGAAGAAAGCATGAAGAAAAAGCAATATACACATGTGCAGATAAATGTAATAAATATAAGTACGTGTATGTATCAGGTGCATATATGTAGGAAACATAATATATTTTTATTTTATGTACCCTCTTATCCCCAATTCCAATAGAGCAGACTGGTTTCTGTGACTTATGCATGACTAATGTAAATTTGTTTTTTGTTGGTTTGTTTTGCATGAACATTTGATTTGCTCTGCTAAATGTTTGTTTATATTCATATGTTTTTACCTCATAAATATAATTATTTAAATGAATTGCGTACCTTATAGTGTACATATACAGTAAAACCTGTCTATAGAGACCACCCAAGGGGAAACACAAAAAATGGCCTTTGTAGACAGATGATTTTTGTAGATAGGTGGCCACTAAAGCAGGTTTGACTGTACTTATATTTTTATTCATGTGTTGATCATGTAGGCAGAACTATGTGTACCACTCTTTAATCTAAAGTTTGCACAGTTTTTAAAAGATTTTCAGAGGACTTGTGAGAGCCATGTCGTTTTTTGATAGTGGGCTATCAACAAATAAACAAATGAGATATGAAGCCGACCTAAGTTTTTCACTCCGTTTTTCTTTTGGTCCAGATACCGATGATTGCTATAACAACACCTGTATGAATGGAGGAACATGCAACGACTTGGTCAATGACTATAACTGTACATGTCCGGCAGGATTCGAAGGAAAAAACTGTGGAAATGGTAAGATATCATGCAGCTTATTTATCCCTTTCAAATACACTTCGTTAATAGACCCAAGAGTTGAAACCAGAGGCTGTAGTGGAAGCACTCTTAAAAAAAGAGGAATCATTCTTACAGGGGTCTCCCAGAAGAAAGCATGAAGAAAAAGCAATATACACATGTGCAGATAAAATGTAATAAATATAAGTACGTGTATGTATCAGGTGCATATATGTAGGAAACATAATATATTTTTATTTTATGTACCCTCTTATCCCCAATTCATGTTAGAGCAGACTGGTGTCTGTGACTTATGCATGACTAATGTAAATTTGTTTTTTGTTGGTTTGTTTTGCATGAACATTTGATTTGCTCTGCTTAATGTTTGTTTATTTTCATATGTTTTTACCTCATAGATAGAATTATTTAAATGAATTGCGTACCTTATATTGTACATATACAATAAAACCTGTCTATAGCGACCACCCAAGGGGAAACACAAAAAGTGGCCTTTGTAGACAGATGATCTTTGTAGATAGGTGGCCACTAAAGCAGGTTTGACTGTACTTATATTTTTATTCATGTGTTGATCATGTAGGCAGAAGTATGTGTACCACTCTTTAATCTAAAGTTTGCACAGTTTTTAAAAGATTTTTTTCAGAGGACTTGTGAGAGCCATGTCGTTTTTTGATAGTGGGCTATCAACAAATAAACAAATGAGATATGAAGCCGACCTAAGTTTTTCACTCCGTTTTTCTTTTGGTCCAGATACCGATGATTGCTATAACAACACCTGTATGAATGGAGGAACATGCAACGACTTGGTCAATGACTATAACTGTACATGTCCGGCAGGATTCGAAGGAAAAAACTGTGGAAATGGTAAGATATCATGCAGCTTATTTATCCCTTTCAAATACACTTCGTTAATAGACCCAAGAGCTGAAACCAGAGGCTGTAGTGGAAGCACTCTTAAAAAAAGAGGAATCATTCTTACAGGGGTCTCCCAGAAGAAAGCATGAAGAAAAAGCAATATACACATGTGCAGATAAATGTAATAAATATAAGTACGTGTATGTATCAGGTGCATATATGTAGGAAACATAATATATTTTTATTTTATGTACCCTCTTATCCCCAATTCAAATAGAGCAGACTGGTGTCTGTGACTTATGCATGACTAATGTAAATTTGTTTTTTGTTGGATTGTTTTGCATGAACATTTGATTTGCTCTGCTTAATGTTTGTTTATATTCATATGTTTTTACCTAATAGATAGAATTATTTAAATGAATTGCTTCCCTATATTGTACATATACAGTAAAACCTGTCTATAGCGACCACCCAAGGGGAAACACAAAAAGTGGCCTTTGTAGACAGATGATCTTTGTAGATAGGTGGCCACTAAAGCAGGTTTGACTGTACTTATATTTTTATTCATGTGTTGATCATGTAGGCAGAACTATGTGTACCACTCTTTAATCTAAAGTTTGCACAGTTTTTAAAAGATTTTCAGAGGACTTGTGAGAGCCATGTCGTTTTTTGATAGTGGGCTATCAACAAATAAACAAATGAGATATGAAGCCGATCTAAGTTTTTCACTCCGTTTTTCTTTTGGTCCAGATACCGATGATTGCTATAACAACACCTGTATGAATGGAGGAACATGCAACGACTTGGTCAATGACTATAACTGTACATGTCCGGCAGGATTCGAAGGAAAATACTGTGGAAATGGTAAGATATCATGCAGCTTATTTATCCCTTTCAAATACACTTCGTTAATAGACCCAAGAGCTGAAACCTGAGGCTGTAGTGGAAGCACTCTTAAAAAAAGAGGAATCATTCTTACAGGGGTCTCCCAGAAGAAAGCATGAAGAAAAAGCAATATACACATGTGCAGATAAAATGTAATAAATATAAGTACGTGTATGTATCAGGTGCATATATGTAGGAAACATAATATATTTTTATTTTATGTACCCTCTTATCCCCAATTCAAATAGAGCAGACTGGTGTCTGTGACTTATGCATGACTAATGTAAATTTGTTTTTTGTTGGTTTGTTTTGCATGAACATTTGATTTGCTCTGCTTAATGTTTGTTTATATTCATATGTTTTTACCTAATAGATAGAATTATTTAAATGAATTGCGTACCTTATATTGTACATATACAGTGAAACCTGTCTATAGCGACCACCCAAGGGGAAACACAAAAAATGGCCTTTGTAGACAGATGATATTTGTAGACATAGGTTCTTTTAGTACATGATTCAATGAGAAACCATTTTCAATTGAAACAACAAATGTGGCCTTTTAAGACAGGTTATCTTTGTAGATAGGTGGCCACTAAAGCAGGTTTGACTGTACTTATTTTTTTATTCATGTTTTGATCATGAAGGCAGAACTATGTGTATCACTCTTTAAATTAAAGTTTGCACAGTTTTCAAAAGATTTTTCAGAGGACTTGTGAGTGCCATGTCGTTTTTTGATAGTGGGCTATCAACAAATAAACAAATGAGATATGAAGCCGACCTAAGTTTTTCAATCCGTTTTTCTTTTGGTCCAGATACCGATGATTGCTATAGCGACCCCTGTATGAATGGAGGAACCTGCATGGACTTGGTCAATGGATACACATGTTCATGTCCGACAGGATTCGATGGAAATGACTGTGAAATTGGTAACATATCCTGCAGCCTAGTTATCCTTAAAGCCTCTTTCAGATACGTCATTCCCGGCACTCAAGATTCCCTTAGAACTTGTAAGAATGATGGCTTCTGGTGGGCTGTTGATATTTTGATGTATATTGACTGGGCTATCAACAAAGACATAAATGAAATATGAAGCAAACCTAACATAAATTTTTCACTCCATTTTTTTTTGTGGTCCAGATATCGATGATTGCTCGAGCGACCCCTGTATGAATGGAGGAACCTGCATGGACTTGGTCAATGGATACACATGTTCATGTACGACAGGATTCAATGGAAATGGATGTGAAACTGGTAACATATCATGTAGCCTAGTTATTCCTTTCAAATACACTTATCTAGAATACCCAAGAGCTGAAACCTGTCTTGAAGTAAGAGGAATTATTCTTACAGGAGTCTCCTAGTTAGAAGCATGAAGAAAAAGCAGCATACAAATGTACAGATACAATATATTTAATATATGTACATATATGTATCAGTATGTAGGAAAGATAATATATATATACATTTATTTCATGTACCCTTTTTATCCCCATTACAATTAGAGCAGTGTGGTGTCTTTGATTTATTCTTTGAATCATGCATGACTCATGTTCATTTGATTGTTTTGGTTTACTTTGTTTTAACGTTTGATTTGTTCTGCTTTATTTTTGTTTATATTCATCATATGTATTTTCATTATAGATAGATCATGTAAAGGTAATTTCTGCCATATATTGTACACATTCTTAGATTTGTATTCATGTGCTGATCATGTAGGAAGAACTATATGTATTACTCTTTAAACTACGTAGTTTGCACGGTTGTTAAAGCTTTTTCAGAGGACTTGTGAGAGCCATTTCATTTTTGTAATCCTTATTAACTTGAAATTAGGTCAAATATATCTGAGTTTCGCATGACATGAACAATTTGTTTGATGAATCTAACCAGTAGTTTAGTTTAACAATTTGTTTAGTTCAAAAGTGCAAAAATATTTATATCTGAATGCTACAATCGGGTATTTTTTCTGTTAAAAATATAGAAATACTAAACTGGTGCAAACCTATTGAGATTTCTTATTTATTTCAAGACTATTTGGATTTACTGGCGAAATTATGTTTAGTGCAGTTTGTTAGTGTTGTTTTGCATGCATAACACGATGAAACATGTGTATTTTGATTCCTCACAAGTATTCCTCTGCCTTTTCTCGGTCCATAATAAATTATTTGTGAAATTTCATAATTAATAGCCAAGTTAAAGATATAAAGATTTTTTATTTTTATCAAACAGTTAAAATTGATAATAGAAGAGATTGTTACAAGAAAAGAATTCATAAAGGGGAGGTTCATTAACATAGTTAAATGGTCAGTTTTCATCTACTAGAGTCCCCCTCCCCCATTTGCTCAAATAAATGCTAATGTTAAGCAGATTTGCACACTATTTTAATTTTATTTTCATTTTGATACCACCATATATTTAGCAATACCTCCCTTGATGAACAGTAAAACATAATACAATATTATAAATATGCTAAATTACACTCAGTACATTACAAATATAATAACATAATGTAATAAGAAAATAAATTAAGAACAGTAAAACAAAATACAATATTATAATATGCTAAATTACACTCAGTACAATAAAAATATAATAACATAATGTAATAAGAAAATAAAATAAGAAAAGTAAACATAATACAATATTATAAGTATGCTAAATTACACTCAGTACATTAAAAATATAATAACATAATGTAATAAGAAAAGAAAGTAACAACAATGATAAATGGTATGATAACATTATTGAATATAGAGGCTTGTGTAGGTACCATCTTATATACATTTATGTATGGTGTGTATCTGATATAACAAATAATCTGCACGTACTGTTAAGAAACACTAACAAAGCCCATGAATGTTTTGCTTACGATATTATTTGTCGATACTATCTTAAAATATAGATAAATATAAAACGAAATAAATATATTTTTTAAAAATACAAAAATGAGAGATATAAATTATTTTGGTGACAATAGTCAAATTACTGACTAATCGCCAATAAACCAAAACACAACAACAACAACAAACACATTTTCACAATGATTTATGTAGTTACATCTAACTCGTGCAAACATATGCAAGAATCCCAATCTCCGTGTTGGACATTTGAAGGAGCTAGGCCAAACTTGTAAACAATAAACAAATTGCATTTTTACCCCCCCCCCCCCAAAAAAAAAAAAAAAAAAAAAAAAAAAAATAGCTCGCAGATAATGAAAAACTTTGGGCATTTAACATTTTAGTTTGCAAGATTTTGGTTATTTTGTTGTTGTAATTTATTTTGTGGCTGTGATATTGTTTGCTTTGCCTTGAAGACATTGATGCATGTGAACCCGATCCATGTGACAATGGTGCGACCTGCACAAACCACTTAATGAATCCCGGTGATGCTACTTTCACATGTGTCTGCATACCTGGATGGACAGGGGAAACTTGCTCAGAGGGTTTGTACAAATTCCACTCCAAATATTAATTCCAAAATCATGATTAAGATGAACGATATGGTACACTGTTGCCCATGAAGTTTGAATATTTTGTTCTAAACTCCTTTCATGAATTGACTGTGGTAATACGATTTTATCTTGATAGATAAAGTTTATATCTTCTCTGAACTTTATGGATCAATCTCTATGACTCCTTAGATTAGTCAATAAAGTTCTGCGAAAATGTAAACTTTATCAGTTATAACCAGGTTGTCACAGTCGTTGTTTTTAAAGAGGTGAGACAAATATCATTCCAACTCTACAGGCAACCGTGTCATTTAAGAAATTGAATTTCTGTATTGTGCTGATCTTATGCAAATTTGCACACAACTGGTCCTCATTCACAATTATTTTGATACCATCACATATTCAGTAGAAACATTTTGCATGGTGATACTAATTCACATCTTACCAGTGCAAAAATATCAACTTTTTATTGAAGAATAAAACGTGTGTACCAAATACTAATGATGTATGTCTGTGGTAAATTGAGCATAGATTAAACACAGTTGTTTTACTTGTTATGACATATGTTCAGAAAAGGAAACAAATATTTTTACTTTAAGATACAAACTTTGTACTGTGTTTTATACTAGCAAATGACAAGAAATAATTTAAAGACACCAAGGCTAAATCTATACTCAATTATTAGTACCTCGATTATTTCACACAGAATATATTTAAACATGTATCTATTTTGTACCACCCAAGAATATTTGGTAAATAATCAAATTATATTTGTTTTATGGTATTGTAACATAGTTCAAAGGTGAGCTGTACAACAGTATTACATATTTTGTTAAGGATTCATAAGATTTTCAAATTTCAGACCCATATGGAAAGTAAGAAGTTACTTCAAAAATACTTCAGGGCCTCGAAGCTTCATTTTTCAATTGTTAATTTACTAAATATTCCTTTGTTATAGTATTAACAATTTTCTCTTAATTGTAATTAATAAAACAATGTTTGTTGGAAGTGAATAGGCACCTAGCTTAACCATTTTCAAAGCATTTGCAAATTTTCAAAAGAAAACAAGTTGCAGAAAAATTACTGCTAAAAGATGCTGATCAAAAACTTTGAATTGTTGCCAAATGTCTGGCATTGGAGAAAAAAAAATGTTTTGCTGTTTTATATAGGATAATTTTTTAACATCCTGAAAGGGTTGTTCAAAATACGTATATCCATATGCCTTTTCGTCTATTGTGTAGATACTCGTGAATGCAACGCAATGCCCTGCAAGAACAACGGAACCTGCTTGGATGGTACAGACTATTTCGAGTGCACTTGTCTTCCGGGATTCAATGGAACAAATTGTGAAATCGGTATGTGAACTTGTAAATATAGAGGATGATGAGTGGCATGACAATGCTTGATCTTTATTTCTGAACATAAGAGGAGTAGACCTACTAAGGTTGCTAATAAAACATTTTGCATTACCATGATAAGTGCATTTGCACATTGATTGACAACTTGAAATTGCAGTTCCAAAAGAATTATCAGATCAATTTTGTAACTATAAATCTTGCATTCAAACAAAGGACTAATGACTTACAAGGAATATTTCAAAGAGTATGCTGGAAGAAAGTATGTAGTTGTATTCTTTGCTACTTTTGAAATCTTAGATCTATTCCAATTCTCTTTTATTTTTTTTATAAGTAACCCTTTGGCCCGAATTCACAAAGGAGGTTTAAATTTAACCCATGGTTTAAACCCTCATTTACATAACCCATGGTCTAACATATAGGGGAGGAGTGGCATGACAATGCTTGTTCTTTGATTTCATTACTGAGGTTGCTAAAAACACATTTTATTTACCATGATAAGTGCATTTGCACATTAATTGATGACTTGAAATTGCAGTGCAAACAAAAATTATCAGAACAAATTTGTGACCGTAAATCCTGCATTCAAACAAACAGAGGTTCATGATTTCAAAGGGTTATTTCAAAGAGCATGCTGAGAGAAAGTACACTGTCGCTCATACCGTTGGAATACTTTTTTAAAACCCAATTTATGGAATTATTTTGACAATGATTTATTCCTAATAGATCTAGATAATAGTATACATTCTCAGATTGTATTGAATAATAAATTGCCAATGTTTGTTTTGCGTGACTGCTAACGCACTGCTTAAGCATGTGTTTGCTAATATGCTTATCAACTAGGGGACCTACGCCTTTAAGTCATATATGACAGTAATGAGGATTAATGCCCCTCAAAAGGGCACTAATATAGCACATCGACACGGTTTTGATCCTAGGGCCTCACAGTTACAAGGCCATAGCTTTGCCACTGAACCATGACTGTACGTAGGGAGCAGTTCCCACAAATAAAACAAGAAAAAAGACAATGCAATACATTTTCAATAGTTCATTGAATTTGTGGTCCAGCATTTGATGGAGCAGATTGTGACAGAAGTAAATGAGCAAAAAAAGGAGAAGTGGTAGGTGCAAATGTAATTCCAGGGCTTGAACCCTTGACCTTTTCATCTGAAGTAAAGTACCACTGGACTACAACACCTCTGAAACACCAACTATGAATACAAAACTTTTGACCATTTTGACCGTCCTGTATCTTTCACAGAAGTGGCAGAACTTGCTAATCCAGGATATTCCAATGTCCTCTCCATGGAACTTCAACTTGTGTGGGACTTCCCAGTTCAAGGCAATGACGACGACATCAAATGCATTGCCAAATACGGGATTCAAGACACCAATGAGGCAGAGCAAGATGTGGGAGGTACATCACCGGGTGTCGCGGTGACGGACTTGGAGCCCTACACCACCTACAACTTTCAGCTGATCTGTGTGAATCTTGCTGGAAGCAGCGAGCCTCTGGACTTTCCACCCCAACGCACCCTAGCTGGAAGTATGATCACTATCTTGCATGTATATTCATTCTTATGTCACCCTAAATTAAAAAGTCACGTATGTATTTAAGTGTATGCGTGGTCTTGTATATATTTTTATGCCTCCGCAACAAAGTAGCCGGAGGCATTATGTTTTTCGGGTTGTCCGTCCGTCCGTACGTACGTCTCGTTCTCGTGATCGCGTTATCTCAAGAACCAATTGATGGATTCCCGCCAAATTTGGGTCATGTATGTATCTTGCAGAGCCAATGAAATTATTAAATTTGGGGGTAATGAGGTCAAATGTCAAAGGTCACAGGGCTCATTATGTATGCAAAAACTTCTTCTTTCCTTTCCTTCCTTCTCTCTCTTTTGGGATTGATTGAGGGGGGGGGCAAGGGACCTTTCGGCCCCCACCCCGCTCCACACGTTGTTGGCGAGAACCGCAACTGATCTTCCCTCCTTTTCACCCTTTTGTTTTCTTCTTCCTCATTTTGTTCCCTTTTAGCTCTCCCCTTTCCCTTTTCTTTTTTTTTAGCGGGGGGGGGGGGGGGTGGGGGAGGAGGAGGCAAGGAGGCCTTTTGCCCCCTCCCCCGATCCACAACTTGTTGGCGGAAAAATTGCAGCTGATATCCCCCTTCTTTTCTTTTCTTCTCCTTCCCTTTTTCTCCTCTTTTCCTTCTTTCTTTCCCTTTCCTTCCTTCTCTCTTATTATTTTGATGGGGGGGGGGGGGAGGCAACAGCCTGGGAGGTAAGGCCCTTTAGGTCACCCCCCCCCCCCCCGATCTCTTCCCCCTTTCTTTTCTTCTTCCTCTTCTTTCTTTCCCCTTCTCTCCTCTTTCCCTTTTCCTTCTTTTCTTCTTTCCTTCTTCTCTCTTTTTTCTTTTGCGGGGGGGGGGGGGGGGGAGCCCGCTCGGTCCCCCTGGATCCGCGCCTTTGTTAATAAGCACATTATCCAAACGCATTAGCTTAGGACATTGATTATGTCAGTAAGTTCTCAATTCTCATATTTTTTCTCCTTTTTTTAGTACCTGGAGAACCTAGAGGACTTACTGCTGATGATACTTCAACTGAATGCATAATTTCTTGGAGGCCACCGATAGAGCCAAATGGAGTGATCACAAAATATACTGTAAGGGTTATTTCATTGACTGAACAACCTAGGATGTATTCAATAACCATTGATTTCACATGCCTCTTTTCGATAGGCTAAGATAAACAGGATCATTTTAAGGCAGGCATGTTTTGTAATTCCGGAGGGCACGTTTTTCTAAGTATTATTGAGTAGAGGAATATGTTGCTTCAACCCTTTCACTTAAAAGTTGATGAAGTAGAAAATTACACTCAGAAAATTGAAAACCGTTTGGACTAAATATTTTGTGAGATTTCACCCATATATCAAGATCTTCTACAGCTGAGTTTGTTTTAAAGTTACATTTTTGGCAGCATTTTTTTTTTTTTTTTTTTTTTTTGGGGGGGGGGGATTTCTTGTGAAACAAAAGTTTATCTATGGTAACCCTAACAGGTTCAGATGTACTCTTGTCGCAATAGAGTTGAGAAATCTACCAGTTAATGCCATGGTCACAACTCACCGTGTGTCCTTTCACATGTGTATGACTGCAGCTGTGGCCTGGCCGTAGGCCAACTCCTGGGATTCGTACATCCTTCTTACGACTCCTCGTGGGTACCCTCTTGCAGGCGCGGATCCAGGATTTCTTAGGGGGTGGGGGGGGGGGGGGCAAAATTTGAAATAATGCGAGCCAAATATTGATACGTAATGGTGACCAGCAGTGACATAATTGGGGGGGGGGGGGTGGTGCGGGGGCGAGTTTTCCCCCTCCCTCCTTGGCGAAGCGCGGAAGCTTTGATATTTCAATAAATTATTAGAGAAAGAAGACGATTCGTTGTAACGTTCCCAAAAATAATCCTCGTCTGAATTATGTTCCCCCCCCCCCTTCCGCGCGAAGCGCGGAGGCTTTTACGTTTCATTAAATCATTAGAGAAAGAAGACGATTCGTTGTGTCGTTATCGACTCTTAATCCTTGTCTAAATTTAGTTTCCCCCCCCCCTCTCCCGCGCAAAGCGCAGAAGCTTCGACGTTTCATTAAATTATTAGAGAAAGAAGACGATTCGTTGTACCGCTCTCCAAAATAATCCTCGTCTAAATTTAGTTTTCCCCCTCAAGCGAAGCGCGGAAGCTTTTACGTTTCATTAAATCATTAGAGAAAGAAGACGATTCGTTGTACCGTTCTCGACTCTTAATCCTTGTCTAAATTCAGTTCCCCCTTCCCGCGCGAAGCGTGGGAGCTTCGACGTTTCATTAAATTATTATAGAAAGAAGACGATTCGTTGTACCGTTCTCGAAAATTATCCTCGTCTGAATTCAGTTCCCCCTCCCCTCCCCCGAAGCTTTGACGTTTCATTAATTCATTAGAGAAAGAAGACGATTCTTATTACCATTCTCGACTCTTAATCCTTGTCTAAATTCAGTTCCCCCCCCCCCTTCCCGCGCAAAGCGCGGAAGCTTCGACCTTTCATTAAATTATTAGAGAAAGAAAACGATTCGTTGTACCGCTCTCGAAAATAATCCTCGTTTAAATTCAATTTCCCCCCTCAAGCGAAGCGCGGAAGCTTTTACGTTTCATTAAATCATTAGAGAAAGAAGACGATTCGTTCTACCGTTCTCGACTCTTAATCCTTGTCTAAATTCAGTTTCCCCCTCCCACACGTCCAACAGCCTCCTTTGGAACCTGGAAAAAAAACCTGTAGACCTGTGCATCTGACGCAGGGATTTTCTGTAAAATCCATCGTAGATCACATGCAGAGAGGTGTACCGCCAGTTGTGACCATGGTTTAAACCGATATATGAATACACCTACTTCATGCAACAATACTTGCAATTTTGTATTGATACATCAACATCCTATACAAGGATATTACTCTTTTGTAATTATGAGTATTGCTCCATTTTTCTTGCAGCTCTATAAAGAGGTCTTGAAAATTGGCACAGATGTTGTGGATAAAATAGAAATAAGGGAAGTACCTGCTAGTCAATTGCAGATAACATTTATGAAGGCAGAGTTACCTCCCTTTTCCATCTTTCGTTACTCTGTCACTGCTTCAACTGCACCTGGAGAAGGGGTTACTGCTACTACTACAGACGTTTGCGAAACACCACAAGGAGGTTTGGTTCTTGATAATTTAAAGTGTACCAATCACCTGAATATCTAATTTGTGTACAGGTAGAATGTATAAAAAATAACCTCTAAATACTTTACTTTGCATTCTGTATTAGGTAAATGGTTAATGAGTATGAAGAAATAAAGGATGACATAATGCCCTGTGTATAGGGCGCGACCCTATTCTAATGAAAGTTTTAAAGTACATGTAGTAATAACTAACTGGTAGAGGTTTTAATTTTCACTTGGAGTATATTTTATCTCGTTGTAGAAGAAATATTTGAAGCTCATACTTTGACTACATTAAAGCAAAATTTAACCCCTCACATCAAAAGCAAAATATGTTTTGGTGATTGGTACATTATATACTTAAAAAGTACCACTGCACTCTGATAAATACTGGAGAAAAATTGCAAAACATGAGGATACATGTAATTGTGTGTCCGAAGAACTTTGGGCAATTTTATGTGCAGCTTGAGTAATATTTTACCCAATTATGAAGATCCTTTTCCTACAAACTGAGCTAAACTCACCAGAGTTGGATATTTAATTGACCACATTACCATTGGTCTGATATGAAATACATAATCATTGAAATGTTTGATGTGGCATCAAATTAATTGTCCTCTTACATTTTCTTTTTAAACACCTGTTATTCTTTTGTGTATAATGCAGTTGCTTTTATGTGATTTCATCTTTTCCACAAGTTCACCTTGATCATTTGTTTTCAAGTGGATTAGGCACCTTACAATTCTTGTATGTTATTATGGTTTAAGCTGAGTAATGAGGAATGAAAGAGTGGCCAATTTCAGTTACTAGGTGACAAAAAGCAAGGCTTGGGTGCCTGAACCCTCATTATTTTGCCCAATTTGAAGTTGTGCCATTTATGTCACTCAACAAAAAAACACCACAAAGTTTTGATTTGTCAGTCGTACAAATCGTATTTTATCGGAAAATCTCAATTATGCTCCAATGCCTTTTTGTTCCATCTAATACTTTGTTTTATTCTTCCAAAAACATAAGATACATTTTTTAGATTAGCTGTTATTATGTGTAGATGTGATTAAATAAAAAAATATCGCAAAGACTTTCCCAAAAATCAACCTAAGGAAATTTTAATAGCCTTTCCCGTGATTGATTGAAATTAATATCAGATAATCTGAAGATGTATCATGTAATCCAAACATGATTTATATAGGATAAACAATAGAGTATTTAAATTACCCTTGGGTTGATTTCTCAAAAGTCTCGTGTTTATAATTTGTCATCTTTAAATTTAGAAAGCAGTGGCACGCCTGTGACTTTGACGATTGTATCTGTGACAGTGATTCTTGTTCTCATCTGTGTCATCATGGTATTCATTTGTATTCGTAAACGCAAAAGGTAAATTGGTATTAATTTCGTTTAGTTTATGGCTCACTTCGAATCATCGGGTCATCGCGTACGGTCGGGTGGTCGCGTAGCACGACCTTTCGTAGATTTGTCATATCGTTTTCACAAAGTGCCGTGTAAATTGGAACACACCATTTGTAGATGAGAGGGGTTTATTTTACAAACATCCCCCCGACATTTCGTGAATAAAGGGCACGTTTTCACAAAAAGTCGGGTAACGCGACCACGCGACGCGAAGACCCGATGATTCGACGAGAGCCGTTTTAATCAAGTAAACACATATAAATGCAAATACTAACGAAACAAAGAAGAGAAAGGGAAGAGAAATTGAGGGAGAGAAAGGGAGAGAGAGAGAGAGTGGAAATGAGAGAGAGAGGGGGGAATAATGCCCAAGAGGAATTAGTGTAACAAAATTTGGTAAACATACATATGGATCTTTAAAGGCATCGTTTAACAGTGTTAAATCTGAGATGCATGGCCCTACGCGTTATCAATGTATGTGATATGGTGTAATATTGAAGCCCTAAACAAATTTGAGTGCCGGTTTTACCATACTCATTTTCACCATTAGACTGTAGTGCTATACAAACGCAAAATTTGATTTCGATTTCCAATCATAAATATCTAGATAATCAGACAGGCAATCGACTGACTTAAAGGTAAATCATTATGATTGCAGGATTTTGTTTCAGAATCTGAGGCAATGTTTTTTGTTTTTGTTCTCATTAATAAAATCATCTTTATTCAATATTGCTTTCGACTTTGCAAAACATAACAAAACATATATGAATATGCATACATAATATAACCAATAGAATCAACAACAAGAATAAAGCTGATTATACAAGACATGGTGGTACATTTTTTGAATATTCTTTTTTAAAGCAACACAATGTTTGTCCACCTATTATCAAATGATACAAATTTGTTTTTTTTAACATAAATGTACTGTTCAAAGAAACGATAATACCTTAACATGCATTTAAAAGAATTTAGTGAGAGTACGCTATTTTTGCATTTGTTGGAAAATATAAAGTATTTGGCTTATAAAATAATAAAATTAAAATGAACTCCAACGTTTCAATAAAACCCAAATAAGAAATTAATTTTATTCAAAGTAACTTTATCCTCTAAAATGAAATGTTGGACATCCGCAATAAACCTTCTAATGATTGGGCAATTCCAAAATAAATGTTTTATAGATTCCACGGAGCTATAACAAAATGAACATAAGTCTGACTGCGAAATATTTAATAATTTAAGATATTCATTAACACCAACTATACGATGTATTATCTTAAACTGAAAATAACGGATCGTGTAGATAAACATGACCTAACAGGAACTAAGAAAATGTTAGCCCAGTCTATGTTTGGGATATTAAACAGAGAATTCCATTTATCTGTTGATTTAGGGGGACTAAAAACCTGTTGAACACTTAAATTATGAATATAGCGACATATCTTCGTTACCTTCATTATATGTGTAATCCTTTCCTCTTGAGCTGTTAGGTCTGCCTCTAAACATTTATGGATATTATTTTTCCAATTATGGGGAATAGCCGTTTTCACAGAATAAAATTCTACAAAATTGTATTCAAACTTCTATTTGTTTCTTAATTGAAAGAAGGTAAAAATATTACCATTTTCGTCAAGGAGATCCGATAATGTAATTATACCTTTGTCATACCATAACTTTATGAATATTACTTTTTTATTTTCACGAATCATAGTGTTGTTCCATATATCTTGTCGTCTGATATGGGAAGGACTGATTTCCGTATCGAGTGTTAAAATGCCCATGACTGGGCAACTTCCCGAATAAAAATGTTTTTTATCGACGATATACGAGAATCGTTTTTATTAATATTACTATACCAGAAAAGATTTCCTCCAAATTGAGCCAAACAAACTTCATAAAAACATTTCTATTGCCCAACATTACTATCGTCAAGCAGACGTTTAACCCAGGCAATCTTTAAGCCTGAAATAATTGAGGGTAAATGTAACATTCTCAGACCTCCGTTTACATAGTCTCCAATTATTGTTGTACGGTTTATTTTGTCTGGTGTTCCATTCCAAATAAATTAAAAAAGTAAAGACTCGACCTTTTTTTAGAGGGCTTCAGGCGGTTTTGGAAGGATAGAAAGTAAATGAATTGGTTGGGACAATCCCAATGATTTTACGATAGCAATCTTTACAATGGGAGTTAGGTTTGTCATTGACCAAATACGGAAAATATTTTTCTATTTTTTTGTAGTTGGGGTGAAAAATTTTAATTAAAAAATGTCTTTCAAATGCACCGAAAATTGTACACCCAGAAAAGTAGTAATACCTGTGTTGAATGTCAAACCAGACGAAGCAATGTCCGGATGGTAAGCTTTATAATAGCCCAAAATTAACAGCTTTGATTTATTTCTGTTTAATACTAGGCCAGTGAGACATTTAAATCCTTCTAGAATATCTAAAACTCTTAACAGATCATAACGGCCTTCCATATATAATACCGTATCATCAGCATAAGCATTAATTTTAATTTCTGTGCCGTTATTTTAATTCCTTTAATCAAGGTGTCTTTTCTAATCTTGAGACTTACTATTTCAGATGAAAAGGAGTGGACTTAACGGACAGCCTTGTCTTACCCCGCATGTTACTTTGAAATATTTAGAGGCAAAACCATTGTTAATAACACATGAGCTCACATCATTATATAAAACTGTACTCCAATTGACTAAGTCGATGCCAAAATTGAAAAACCGTAATGTTTTCAGTATGAATGACCACTCTATCTTATCTAGTGTTACCAAGTCACTTTAAAGAAGAAAATAATAGATTTCATTCATATGATATCATTACTCTCGTAGCATGCATAGACCGATTATAATGTCAATGTGAATAACAGTCACAACAAACAGGTTATAATTCTCTATTCCCTGAATAAATCGCAAGTGAGAAGTTTACCCTCAATGTCTCTGTAAGTCTAATTAAATATCTATCCTTGGTAATCTCTTCTTTTTTGGTCCATAGATCTCGACAGCAAGGGAACAGGAGTTCTCCCATTGCTTCGGCAAGCTTCATCACGACTCCCCGTATGTGCACAGACTTGTTACCTGCAAATTCACCAACAAGCTCTGGTAACCAACAAGTAGAAGATGTATACCATGAATATGAAAGGGTGTGCGTTTGCGGGCAGGACTCGTCGAAGTCGAGCACCCGTGCGAACCAAGGAACGAGTCAGGGAATCTCCTTGACCAAGACGAAGTCGACGTCGGAAAACGATCAGTCGCATGTTTATGAGAATCCGTCCTTCGATGATAAGGAATATACTGATCTTGATTTCTCTCAAGTCAAGAAGGGCGGTGATCCGACGAAGCCGACGTCCTCCGGTAAGGAATATACTGACCTTGATTTCTCCAAGATCGAGAAGGGTGGTGATCCAACGAAGTCCTTTGACGGTAAGGAAGATGTTGATCCGGCCTATGAAGTTTGTATCATATAGAATGTCAATAAAATAGATTTTTCTGAAGTCTTTTACAAAAATCGAATTACATCAAGATATACACTTGAAATATTTATTGAAGACAGCCATGGAGATTATCATAACAACGAGAATCACCTTATGAAATCATTATTTTTTTGCGTTAAAGATTTATTAAAAGTATCTATAATGTTGGAGCACCATCAAACCCGTTGATTGGAAACATAATTCTCATAAACAAAATCACGTTAGCCTTTTGTTGTAATACCTCAAAGACGTGTTTAATGGAAGATTCCAACTAGAGGGTATTTTATTCAATAACCAGGGTGAACGAGACGAGTCAGTACAATCCCTTTCTTTTGTATCCTTTCATTAAACGAAATAGTTATAAGATAAAACAAGCTACTTGGTTATAACTGATACTGGATTCTGAAATCATTATCTTCATGACTGGACCATGAGTGACTAATGGATATAGGAGTAAGTTTATTTGTGGTTATGAACTCATACGAATAATAAGCGCATGGCTTGCTTTAGTTTTCTCTAATGACGAAGTGACTCTTTTATGAATAATCCAGGGAATAATCCTTCTTGTTAGCGCTAAGTCGCTTTCTTTTTGTATATTAATACCTAGTGTTGTTGATCCTTTATTTTTATCGAGAGATTATTTAATGAAATGGTCGTGAGGAATGGTGCCACATTCCTGTAATTGTTGACAACTCCTGAAAAGGGTCTGTGGCCCTGAGATTTAGCACATATACGATTATACGTAGACATTTTTTTTCTCCCTTTTGTAGTAGTAACTGCAGTTTTGGTCTGTGATTGAATTTCAAAGTGAAAGGTTTGAGAGGGCAATTTATATTCAAGTGATATATGCATGTTTGTACTTAAAACAATCTCTTTTAATGATTTTATATTTTGATTCGTTTGACTTCGTCATGATTTCGTACTCTCTTTTGTTTTCAAATTGGTATTAAATGTGTTGATGGATGAGCAAATAAAATGATGGGATTTCTATTTTTAGGTGGATGATATCCAATAATTGCTGTTTGTTACAATTTACAATTTACGAATTGCAAATTTACTTTGTTTTGACATGTATATATTCATATATTGTTCAAACACAGAGGGAAACACAAACAATAGTACAGGTTACAGGTTTTAATTTAAAGAACAAGTACAGGACAACATAAACTATACAATGAAGACAAATTACATAACATACAACACTGAAACATAAAATGTGCATAACAAGTTTTTGTGTAACAAATTGGAAAATCATTACTATAATGATGATGATGATGATGATGATGATGATGATAAAGATGATATTATTCATAATAGTAATAATAACAACCATAATGATAACAATGATAACAATAATAGTGGTGATGATTGTAATATTAATAGTGGATTTTTTTTTGTATAGCGCTCATGCCTGTCAGACTTGATACTCAAGTGTGAGGAACCATTTTTTAGATTCAATGATATTCATGATTATAATATCGCACAACTTGATCTGATGCTTTACATTCAGCTTTTTAATTTTTGTTTTTATTGTAGCCGTCGGTAAGGCGAATAAGGGATAGATATACTCATTCATGGAACTTTTCGATCTTGACATTGTTGGTTTGGTGTTGGGGCTAGAATTATACTCAGAATTAAAACGAAGATACTACATGCTCTGAAGAATATGTTTTTACGTTTTCTTTTGTTCTTCTTTTGTATGTATCAAAGTCGACATGTAATTAATGAAACAAGAATTACTGCTACCCAAAATACATAACTTGAGGTGACGGATACACAATAGTTTTTTTTTCATCTAGAGATTATTAGGCGCCCGGATATGTTTTCACATCGATTAAGATTTCGTGTCAGTAGACGAGGAAAGGGGAGGGTAAGATGATTTGGGCCTTATTAAGAGAGAAAAAGGAGGGGAGAATGAGAGAGAGAGAGAGAGAGAGAGAGAGAGTGTGTGTGTGAAAAAGGGAAGTGTTTTATCTTAGAAAGAGTTTACAGATTAAAAGGAGGTAGAGAGGGAGAGAGTGAATGAGAAAGAAAAGGAGGTGAGGAGAGAGAGGGTGGAGAGAGAGAGTGAAGAACAGGGAAAAAACATAATCATAAAAAAGAGTGTAAAGAAAAGAAGGTAGAGAGAGGAGGGGCAGAAGAGAGAGAGAGGGGGGGGGGGGTTGCGAGAAAAAGGAGAGAGAGAGAGAGAGAGAGAAGAACAGGGGAAATATAATTTAGAAAGAGTTTTAAAGAGATGGAGGGTGAGAGAGAGAGAGAGAGAATGAGAATGAAAATGAAAGGAGGGGAAAATAGGGGAAATAGGGAGGAAGGCAGATAAAATTATAACAACTAGAGACAGCTTGCAGGGAGTCGAGTACACCGAGGGAAAGAGACAACCAGAATTTTGGTCCATGTATCTGATACCTGAATAGGGCTTACCCTTTACAAACTATGTCGAATCTGTGGAATGAACCATCCATTCGGCATCGGATTATTGAAGTTTCATAGGAATTGTATGTAAAATCACAAAATGTATTTTTGTTTGCATTATTGTTAAAATTATGACGAATGAGGGCACTATGACACAAAGCCAACTCTGGTGTATTGATTGATTGAATTTTGCCGAATATTCCCACACTTTGTTCCGTTTTCTGACTCATTTTAATTCGACCTCTATCAACCAATTCAGACAATAAATATGATGTCGCTTTTCTACAGTCAATCACGCATAACCTAAGAAAATATTCTCTTTCGATTTATTGTCGCCAAACCTAAATTTGGAAATGATGTCAACATAATAAGTATGATATCGCATACAATTTGCAAAATAGGAGGGAAACTTACTTATTCTTTTCTTCCTTTGTTAAGCCTTCCCCAAAAGGAACTTCAGCGATTAATTCAAATCACTCAACTGCGACACAGGCATTGATGTTTATTCGTCAGAGATATGCCCCAGTCATTCCAACAACGGGTTGGTTTGAAATCTATATGGAGTCGAGTCGGGGGTGTGACTGAGGTATTCATCTTGCCAATAAGGCTCAAAAAATTTATCGTGAGAATTTGATTCATTCTTGATGGATTAATTGTTTATCTTTTCATAACATTATAGATCAATCTCTATGACCTTGATCTCTCGATGAATACAATTTGCAGAAGATATAGTTATCTATCACGAACAAACAATATTGTCACAACCATTTCATGAAAAAGGGTAAGACAAGGCATTTCCTCTTTATAGCATAGCATAGTAGGCAAAGTTTGTATAATATGTTCCAATAAGGTATATCTAAAATGAGGTGTGAGGCGTGCGGTACCAAATAACAAACTCAAATCGATAGAAAAAGGTGGTATATTAATACTGACACAAATATTTGAAAATGAAAATATGACATTTGTCACATCAAACATAATAATCACATATTTCCAGAATAAGTGTATTCGAACTATGGGTATTCCTACTCAACGCAGAGGCCAAGGTAAAGTTTATGTCACACATATCGATTGTGATTGTAATGTGGTGATTCATACACAAATAAATATTGACGTCAAAAGTTTATTAATAATTGTTCTAGATATAGAGGCATGTCTGCGCTGAGCTATTTAGACCAGCGAGTTAGTACAATCATCAGTTAAATATAACTTCAAGCCTTCAGACATTTTGAAACAGATTTTGGCCCTCGATCGATCGGAACTAAAACCGTCTTTGCAAAAGATATAAACTTTAACCTTAATTTCTATATTTACGAGTGATTCTCTCACAAAAACAGCAGATGTCAATTTCATTTGGTCAAGTTGTTATGCGCTATTGAGATGCAGATCCATTATGCCACCTGTGCGGCGCCACGAATACCTATCATATTGACCACGCCCTTCTTTATTACCCCTTCCCCACGCCCAAACTCCAAGTAGCGTCTTTAACTACATATTTTGTATACACACATGCGGAGATCTCACCCCTGTACATATTCATAATTGTCCGTGTAGAGCGCACACACACACATGTATTACTTAAGTATTTACGACACACACACACACGCAGAGAAAAGGACCAATTTTGGCGTTTGGGGTTTTCATGTACTTACGCTTCTCTAGGGCACAAGCATAATGCTTATAAGGATTCCTCCTCATTAGATTAAATAAGCATCTTTTTTATTTAATGAAACGACGTGCATAAAATCGTTTTTATTGTTTTAATACCACCTATCCATCGAATATATTTATATCTTTTGTTACTTTGTATATGCGTTACTTTGTAAATACTTTTCATATGCAGTTAATGTTGAAATAAAACCTTTAAAAAATGTGTGCACTAGCCGCACATCGATCTCTCTTTCCTTTTCATTATTAGTGATAATGTACAATATGATATAAGATATTAATACCACTTCGCCTTAACCTGCACCAATACCCCTGCGTGGAAAGGCATGTAAACAAAACCTAAAATGCGTCCGAAATCATCCCCTTCCGCACCCGTTGCAATATTCTCAAGAAATATAAATCAGGAACAAAACCTGGTAAGAGTATTACTAATTTAGTTGTTAACTGTGTGTGTATATTATATGGATGATGTATGTACTGTTTACTGTGCAGTTATAGCACTGGTCAGAATGATAAAGACATGCAAATTGATCCTCTTCATCTTATGGTTGTGCAAGTACACGTGCATATAGATGAGTTCCCACATATTTAAGTATAGAGTGTAGCAACTTTAATTTCAACAATCTCCATCAACACGAACTCCTTGTACTTGTGCAAGCCGTAGATGGCGAATTTGTTATACCCCCGGCAAAAATTCAGACTGGGCCTAGCGATGTGTGGATCACACCATCCTCGGATTGCAGCAGGTAGGGGATGGGAGATCGTAACTGCAAGATAAAATCAAGCCGGCCATATTTTGGACTATTGTCATTGGTGTTACTCCAATTAGAAGTAGAAAGACTTTGCAGCAGCTTATAAGATTGTGAGTACACATACACGTTATTAATTAGATGTAGAATAATGAAATCTGACAAAAAGGTTTTCAGAGCTTAGAGAAACCATAAGTGAAATTTATGAATGTAATCAGTAATTGCTATACCAACAGGTATTTGTTTCCATGGTTATTTTTCTTCCTTATCATTTCCAGGTCAAGGTTATCCTTTACTAGAGCACGACGCTTGATAGTAGTCATATAGAAGAGGCCGATTGTCATCAGATCGGGGCAAGGTATTATATTTCAAAATAACTTTTGACCACATATCAACTGTACTTCAACACATATTTAATGCCCTTTATGTCTGAACAGTCAGTTGACATGTACATTTGTTATCAAAATAATAATGAGCATTTGTAATGTGCCATGTCTGTCAAATTTAACACTCCTAGCGCAGCTATTACAAAATTTCATTAACTATTGTGGGCATACATTAACTAAATGCTCAAAGTAATTCAAGAAAAAAAAGCATGTAGACATAATTTTATACAGTTTTTTTATACAATTTATACAGTTTTGTCCGAGGTATCAAAGCAGAAGTTTTGTTTTAAACAGTACAAAGTTCTGCAAATTACATAGCAAGTTTCTCATCCACATTTTTCGGAAGAATTTTGTTTTTGTGAGTGAGCGTAGAATGAAGTAGGCCTAAATGTATGTCTTTGTTGCTATATCAGTGTGTATCTAAATGATTTCGTGGTACCAAATGTTCACACTTTGTAGGGGAGAAGGGACATTAAAACAAAGGGTTTGATTAGATTGGAATATTCCCACATCATAATCCTCTCTTTGAAATATTGCTACATGTAGACTACATGTGCTTTAGACATTATACTGTACAGTCCTGCTTTGGCTGCAGATTAAGATTGGCCATTAAGCCTGGTATTCCGAAAACAACTGTACCGGTGAAATGAGGAACTGATCTGTGGAGTATGAGAGAACACATTTAATTGTACATTTTAGGAATACATTCTGTTAAGATGTGTTGTGGTACAAAAATCAACCCCATTAAAAAACCTGAGTTGCTTCTAAATTGATGCTCTGTTTCTGTGTACTGTAACAATTATGTTATGTTTCCCAAACCAACATTGCGCATAATGTACATGTGTACCTTGTTATTTAATAAAAACTGGAAATATAGATATTATGGTTTCTAGAGTAGAATTTTATATAAAGAAACATAACACTTCCACAGCAAGAAAGAGCTCCTCACACTTTTGCGAAAAGTAAGATGAAAATCCCAGTCTTATGGAACATGGCACAGGCATGAGAATTATTGTGATCCACTTTGTATTTCCACTCCCACAAATAAATCACACTGAAAAGTTGAATGATTA